GGGGGGAGTGGGACACAATTAAATCCATAACAGCTACCCTGCACAAAACTGGGCTTCTGCTAATAAGGAATGAGAAGAGAATGGATACTGCAATGGCGACTACTAGTGCCTGTCACACAAATGAAGAAACTGCTAAGGATCTCGTCCAAGGTCAGGCATATGGCATGTTGTCGTTAGGTGCCGTCGAGACAGTTCCAACTCATCATGACTCTATGTACAACAGAACGAAACACTGCCTGGTCCTTCACCATCCTCATGACCATTGTTATGCTTGAGCCCATTGTTGCAGCCGCTGTGTCAATCCATCTTATGACGGTCTTCCTCTTTCTCAATGGCCCTCCATTTTACCAAGCATGATGTCCTTCTCCGGGGACTGATCCCTCCTGATAACATGTCCAAAGTATGTGAGACGAAGTCACGCCACCCTTGCTTCTAAGGAACATTCTGGCAGTATTTCTTCCAAGACAGATTTGTTCATTCTTTTGGCAGTCCATGGTATATTCAATATTATTCACCAACACCACAATTCAAAGGCATCAATTCTTCTTCGGTCTTCCTTATTCAATGTCCAGCTTTCACACGTATATGAAGCAACTGAAAACACCATGGTTTGGGTCAGGCGCACCTTAGTCCTTAAAGTGACATCTTTGCTTTTTAACACTTTAAAGAGGTCTTTTGCAACAGATTTGCCCAATGCAGTGCGTTTGATTTCTTGACTGCTGCTTCCTTGGGTGTTGATTGTGGATCCAAGTAAAATGAAATCCTTTACCACTTTAATCTTTTCTCCATTCTCCATTTATCATGATGTTGCTTATTGGTCCAGTTGTGAGGATTTTTGTTCTCTTTATGTTGAGGTGAGTCCTCACTGAAGGCTGTGGTCTTTGATCTTCACCAGTAAGTGCTTCAAGTCCTCTTCACTTTCAGCAAGCAAGGTTGTGTCATCTGCATATTGCAGGTTATTAATGAGTCTAGGTCAGGTATATGGCATAGTCAGACTCAAATCCATATCTGTTTGGCACCTGTGTCCATGTTCCTGACCTCTAGAGATGACCTTATCGTGATTCATTGCAATTGTCTTTTTATTTGTTCATCCCTTCTCCCCTCTAGACTGTGACTTCCTTGGTACCAGGAATAAATTTTATTCATCTTGGTATCCCAGCCACTTGTCCATAGTTTTTTTGAATTGAAAAATGGATAAGGGCTGCAGTAGTTTTGGCAGCTAAAAATTCTTTCTAGAAAAATATTCTTCAATTGTCTTTTTCTTTAATGTTTTGTAACCGCCTGTCTCCAAACAGCTTCAGATTTAAATAAAAGAAATTATATTGGTCGTTGTGCTTCCACAAGTACATTTGGCCTCTTCTACTATTTGTAGGCTTCTATTCTCCTCTTGAGGCGCCTGGTAGTGCAGTGGTTAAAGCACTTGGCTGCTAACCAAAAAGTCAGTGTTTCGAACCCACTAGCCGCTCTGTGGGAGAAAGATGTGGTAGTCTGCTTCCATAAATATTTACAGCCTTGGAAATTCTATTGGGCAGTTCTACTCTGTCCTTAGGGAAGCTATGAATCGGAATCGACTCCACAGCAGTGGGTTTGGTTTTTGGCTTCTCCTCTCTCTCCCTAACCGCTTAATGCTTGTTTACAGGGCAGGGTCCAATTTCTCTTTGCTCTGCCTGGTAATTCAAACATTCCTATACTGCATTGCTCTATTTCTTCGGGATTTGAGAGTTACTTGAATAACATAATAATTTGAGTCACAGACAGCCCTGATCCCAAATCTCATTTCTTGCTGGGTCATGAGGCAGCCCCAAAAGGACCTAGTGTCATTTCGAATTCACTATATTGGCAAGGAAGGTAGGGAGGGAAGAAGAATTCTTAAGACACCAGTTCAATAAGTAAACATTTCATAAAACTAATCACTCATGTCCCTAGGTTTTTTTTTTTTAAATTTTAAAGCCATCTTTGTTACACAGGCCACCAGGAAACATTTTGATGTTTCTTTAAAACTGTAATGCTTGGTTGGATGCGATCAAGCCCCATTTGCTGTGGGGTAGGGCCAATTAGAGACCCCTGATTTAGGCTGGGGCTGTTTAATTCAGCTCAAGAACAAGCTTGCAGGCAATTGGACTTCCAACCTGATGACCGAAATGGCAGTATTAAGAGATGCTTAGGCTTCTTTTTCCAGCCCCATGAGCCTCTGGTAAGTAGCTTACTATCACTAAATGAATAAAGCAATAAACATTTATCATTTATTAGGTAGTTACTATATGTTAGGGACTGTGCTGAGCACTTTACTTATTTTGTCTCATTTAATCCTTTGAACAACACTGGACTATTGTCATCTTACAGACAAGGAATGTAAGGCTTATTGAAAATAAATAATTTGCCCAACACAGTGTTGCAGCAAGGTGTGAGTTGCAGAGCCTCCACCCTAATTTCTAGCGGCCCCGCTCAAGCCACTAGATATAATAATAACAATAAAATAATCATAATGATATTCTTTGACCTTGACAATGGATCTTTTTTCACTCTCATATAAAGTGCAAGTAAAATCATAATGGTAATAATAATAGCTAACCTGGCTCAGCGGTTAAGTGCTTGGCTGCTAGCTGAAAGGTTGGTAGTTCAAACTCATCAGCTGCTCAGCAGGAGAAAGATGTGGCAGTCTGCTTCTGTAAAGATCTACAGCCTTGGTAACCCTATGGGGCAGTTCTACTCTGTCCTATAGGGTCCCTATGAGTCGGAATTGGCTTGATGGCAATGAACTTTTTTTTTTTTAAACATGTATTGACTGCTTACCATTGGCCACGGGCTTTTAGAAGTTCTCAATCCTCATTTAATTCTCATGATAATCCTTTCCAGAAGTTCTATTATCATCCTAATTTTCAAATGAAGAAATTGAGACATACAGAGGTTAAGTAACCTTTACAAGGCTTCATGGCTTGTAAGTGCCAGAGCTAAAACATGGCTATTTTTATTGATCTATAAAACAGACTAAGTAAAAACAATATGCTCGCTGCGAAAATTCAGCTTCAAGACAAATCTTCCATTTCTTCCTAACAAGGGCCCCTAACACCCTGCTGTATAGAAATGCTTAAGTTACCACTGGTTTAACGTCACATGGGGTGGTAAAGCCCAGGTTCAAACCTGGGTTGGTCTGAGTCCAAAGCAGGAGTCTTTACCACTGCACTGTTTAACTCTAGCTAGGTTAAACCCCAGTTCAAAGGCCAAATCATGGACCCATTTGGAAATTACCTTAGAAATCATCTAACCCAGGGTTTCTCAACCTCATCACTGTTGACATTTTGGGCTGGATAATGCTTTGTTGTGGGGACTGTGCTGTACGTTGTAGGATGTTGGGCAACATTCCTGACCTCTATCCACTAGATGCCAACAGCACCTCACAGTTGTAATAACCAAAAATGTCTCCAGATATTGACATATGTTGGGGGGTGGGAAACATCTTTCCTTCCCCCCTACTTGGTTTGAGCACCACTGATCTAAATCATCTCATTTTACAAATGATGGTGTGGAGCTGCTGTCCCAAGAGATGAAGTAGCTTGTCTAAGCTAGTTAGCAGGGCCAAGACTAGAATCCACGTCGTTTATGCAACACCACTGTATCCCTGTAATGTACAAGGCACGATATGGAACCCTGAGTAAGCAGATGCCCACCAGCCATTCGGTAGGAGAGAGAAGCTATCGCAGCTATCTCTAATTGCACAAAGTCTATAAGCAATAAAGTGTTACTCAGACAGCAAGGTGTAGAGAAAGAGAATATGATCTGGTGTCCTGAGATCTGAATCTACCACTTTTTAGCTGTAGGACTTAACTAAGCTTCAAGTTCATCATCAATGAAACGGAGATCATGACATCTACTCTGTGTCACCAGCCTCAAAACGGGTCTGTGAATGCCTGGTGCAAACTGTAAAGCTCTTACAAGCACTGATTATTATTATTATTAAAAAAACAAACGAACCAAACCAAACCCGTTGTCGACGAGTTGGTTCCGACTCATATGGGATAATGACTATTATTAGAATAAAAGCTCTCCGAACTCATGTAGGGGTGGCCTTATTCCTGGACTTTCCAACTTGAGATCCCCATTCCTCTGCTGGAAAGGAACCAGGCAAAGAGCCGCTGCCAGATGTGTGTACTAGTCCTCCAAGAGGGAGTCGCTACCCGCCTCCGGCTTCTCAAGCTCCGCCTGCCTTAGGCTTTGGCCCCACCCTTAAAGAAAATAAGACTCCGCCCCCTCCGCGCCGCCTGGGACTCCGGCCACGCTCTACCTCCAAGACAATCCCTCGTTCGGGCCGGAAATTCCCGAATTTCCCCGATCTCTTCCCAGCTTCCCTCGGGCGCCCGGAACGGAGGCAGCGGAGATTGACGAGGGGCGCCTGCCCCGCCCCTCGACGGGCTGTGCCGCCGCCACCACCGCCTCCTTTGCCACAGCCTCCTGCGCGGGCTCGAGTCTCAGATCCCGGTCCCTCCCTCCTTCTTTCTCTCTCCCCGCCTTCCCGGTGCTGCCACAGTGGCGGGTCGGAGGATCCCGGCCAGTCAGCTTGTTGCTGCTTCGAGCCCCTCCTCCCCCAAAATAAACACCCCTCCCCAGGCCTCGGGAGCCGGACCGCCCCCTTCCTCCGCGCGGCTTGTGAGGGAGAGTGTGAGTGAGCGATCGGGGCCAGCGGGCGAGCTCTGGGAGTGTGAGAGGCGGGGCGGCGCGCAGGCCGGCGCTGGGGTGTGTGTGCGAGTGGGGGGGCGAGCGAGTGCCCGTGGCGACCCCCCGGCGGCCCCGAGCAGGGAGCAGGGAGCAAGCCGAGGAGCCCGCGAGCGAGAAACACCGACCTCCAGCCGCAGAGGGGCGCCGCGCCCGCGCGCACGCACGCACGCAGGCGGGGGGCGGGGGCAGGCGCGCGCCCGCCTGTCGCGACAGTCGGGGCAGAGGCCCAGGGGGAGGTGGCCTGTCGCGGGTCGCCCGGCTCCCGAAGGCGAGGGGGGCGCGGGCGGATGGCGGAAGGCGCCCAGCAGCAGCAGCCACCTCAGCTCGGGCCCGGCGCCGCTGCCCGGGGGATGAAGCGGGAGTCGGAGCTGGAGCTGCCGGTGCCCGGAGGGGGAGGAGACGGAGCTGAGCCCGGCCTGAGCAAGCGGCCGCGCACCGAGGAGGCGACGGCCGACGGCAGCGGGATGCAGGTGACCGCGCGGGACGGGCGCCCTGTTATCGTGGGGGTGCGGAGTGGGGGCTGGGAGGGGCGGCCCCCGGCTCCCAAGCTTGGAGAGGGGGAGGATGGGTAGGGGTCCTGGATCCGAGGTGGGAGGGGGTCGGGGCCTGGTTGGAAGGTGGGGCGGGCTCTGGCTTGGCGGCGAAGGGTGCAGGAGAATCTCGGGCGCCAAGAGGGTCCTGATGCCTGAGGGGTCCAGGAGGCACGACGCTTGAGTAGGTTTTTGGGGGAAATTGAACACGGTTGAGATGGATTCCATTCCTTTTAACCCTTTCTTAATTTCTAGGGGTGGAGTGGAAGCCGGGAAATCCTGGGTCTGTTGCCTAGGGGCGAGCCGATGGGCTGGGTCGAGGATGAAGGGCAGTGGTGGTGAGAAGGCTCCCAAGAAGAAGGAGCAGTACCTTTTCGGCAGCCCTCGGCACATACTGGGATGGGCAAGGGGAGCGGCATTTGAAGGAGACGAAGAAAAGCGAGCAAACTCCTAGAGAGAGTCGAAAGGGGATGTGGCTTGGACTGTGGGTTAAATCAGTTGGTTGCACTGGAGGGTGAGAAGTCCACGGAGTTTGGTTGTGTTGTAGGGTCACTGTGGTGCTCAGTCTCATTAACTTTGTGGAGCATGCTAATGAGTCTGAAGAGAGATACAAAAACTGTCCCTCCTGTACTTTGCCAATTGCGTCTTACATAGCCAGGACACCAAATAGCTTTTTAATGTCCTGAGGTATAAAAGAAAATTTATAGGGCTATTAGAAGACTGGATTCTGAGTTGTAGACTCAAGGATAAGCTGATCGATTTGGGTAGGGAATGGGAAATGTAGTGATGATGTCAGTGTCTTTGTAGTTTGAGGAAGAGCTTGAAACCTTGGTAGGTTTCAGGATTTGATCTCTGTTCAGAAAATACTTGCTATGAAATGGTGGAGCTCACCTACCAGCAGTTGTTCAGACATCTGCTAATTTTCTGAGAATCAGAGAATGTTAAAAGGTAGAAAGGACCAGAGACATGTTTTCCAGGGCTTCTTAACTTGGATCGATTCAGAGGATTTTTACTCAGAATAGTGTATGTGCACTGTTTTTGAGGGAGAGTCAATAGCTTTCATCATCTTTGTTTTTTCTTTCTTTTTTTGAGAACATTGAATTCCCAGAATGTTTTAACCACTTCATTTTATAGATGGGAAATCAGAAGTCCAGAGATGACTAGTGACTTTCCTAAGACTGACCAGGTAGCTGGTAGTAAAACTAGAAGTAGAAGCCTGGTCTTCTAATTCCTGTTCTGTGATCTGTCCATTACCCTACCCTTGGAAATCTGTGCAAAGCTAAAAGACTTCCTGTGCTGTGCCTCCCTGCTTTTCAAGGCTCTGCATGACTTCCTGTGTTGGAGACGGAGCTGTACTTCAGCCTGGCATGTTTGCTGTATTCTTCTTGGTCTCCTTTGTAGAGGCCACTCTGTTACTTCTATTGATTTGGGTAAAGTGATCCTCTTGTTTATTTTTGAATTCTTCTGTTTTGTTTGCCTGTTCTTGCTCTCCATTAGAACTTTGTCAGGCAGAGGGAATACGAGAAGTAAAAGCTCAGGGCCATGGAGAAAATTTAGAGGAATATGGGGAGACTTGAGGAGAAGTGGGTTAGCATTGGATGCTAAGGAGGGAAGACCAGATGTGGGTCTACTTGATGTGTGCATATATGTGTGCATCTATTCATTTATTGTTTCTGCCTGTTAATAGTAAGACTCCCCTTTTCCTCCTTTCCTCCTGGGGCCTATTATTTGCTGGCTGCTTTCAAATTGACTAAGGACAGTAGTGTTTGGAAACGGAGCAGTGTTTTGGGATTTAGGGGACATGCAGAGGAAGGAGTGGATTAGGTCCTTTGGGCATAAATGGGCAACTTAGAACTATCCCACAGGGAATCTTTTTTTTTCATTCTGTGTTTACGGATGTTCTTTATTTAGTTTTTCACTGTATCCATTCTCATTGTTGTAGTCCCATTGCACCATGTCACACAAGTATTCAAATCATCATTGATATAGCACCTTGCTGTATGGTTTTTGGAAATCCTGGTGGCATAGTGGTTAAGAGCTATGGCTGCTAACCAAAAGGTCAGCAGTTTGAATCCACCCGGTGCTTCTTGGAAACCTCATGGGACGGTTCTACTCTGTCCTGTAGGGTCACTATGAGTCAGAATCAACTTGATGGCAATGGGTTTGGTTTTTTGGTATACAGTTTTTGAAAAATCTCTTCTTTTTGGGCCTCAGTTTCCTTAGTTGTAAAGTAAAGTGTTTGTACGGGATGATTTCTAAGTTTCCTACCAAAAAACACAAGTCAAATTTCCTGTCCTTAACATACTTACAGTCTAGATGGGGAGACAAAAATGGGTGAAAAGTTTAAAAAAAAAAAGTGTTTTGTGTGTGTGTATGATTTTTTATTTAAGTTCCAGAGGAACAGGAGTAGAGACACCACAGGGTAGATGTATGTCACAAAGCATTGTATAATTTAGAGCCACAGTGGATAGAGGACTTGTGCAGCTGGGTCCAGAAGAAGGAGATGGTCATTCTTACTGAATTGGTCAAGGAACGCTTTATGGGAAGGTTGAAATTTAAGTTGTAATTGGGAGTAAAGGAGAAATCAAGTTCATGAAAAGATGATACTTAGCTTAGAGGACCTACAGCTCTAGGACTTTCTGGTATCATGCTGACAATAATGATGGAATAATTAAGATTCATTCAGCTAATGTTTATTGAGCAGCTGCCATATGCCAGGCAAGGTTTTAGCCCAAGGCGATACAGCGGTGAACAAAATAAAGACCCTATTCTCATGAAACGAATATTCTAATGGGAAGAGACAGGCAGTAAAGAAATAAACTATTATCAGTGATGAAGATGGTCTGGAAAGGTGTCTCTAATACGTGACCTTTGGATGAAGTGAGGAAAGATATTTGAGGAACTGTGGGTGCAGGCAGGGGAACTGTGGATGCAGAGGCATTGAGAAAGTAGCGTGCTTGGTGAGTTTGAGACCAAGAAGTCAATGTAACTGGGGCAGAATGAGCAAGAGTTGGGAGTTCTAGATGATAGCGGTGTAGAGATTCCTGTAAACATGTTGTCATCGAGTTGATTCCGACTTACGGCGACCCCAGGTGTATCAGAGTACTGCACTCCATAGGGTTTTCAATGGCTGTGACCTTTAGGAAGTAGATTGCCAGGACTTTCTTCTGAGGTGCCTCTGGGTGGACTTGAACCACCATCCTTTTGGTTTAGTAGCCAAGTGCTTAACAGTTTGTACCACTCAGGCCTAGAGATGCTTACATTGTTCTTAGTTGCTGTTGAGTTGATTCTGACTTGTGGTGACCCCACGTGTTACAGAGTAGAACTGCTCTGTAGGGTTTTCTTGGCTGTAATCTTAGCAGAAGCAGATCATCAGGCCTCTTCTTCTACAGTACCACTGTAGAAGTTTGAACTGTCAACCTTTAGGTTAGCAGTTGAGTACAAACGGTTTGCGCCACCTAGAGACCTTAGAGATACCTATTAAAAAAAAAAACCAAGCCCATTGCCGTCAATTCTGACTCATAGCGACCGCATACCCATTGCCATCAAGTCGATTTCAACTCGTAGTGACTCTACAGGACAGAGTAGAACTGCCTCATAGAATTTCCAAGGAGCAGCTGGTGGATTTGAACTGCTGACTTTTTGGTTAACAGGCAAGCTCCTTACCACTTTGCCACCAGGGCTCCAGCAACCCTATAAGGCAGAGTAGAACTGCCCTGTAGGGTTTCCAAGGAGCGGCTGGTGGATTCGAACTGCCGACCCTTTGATTAGCAGCTGAACTCTTAACCACTGTGCCAACTAAGGTTCTGGTCCTGTGTAAATATACACTTAAAAAATCTTAGTGTAGCCGACCTTTTTGGTATACGGATTTGTCTTAAAGTATGTGTTTTTTATTTCTATATTAACGTAAATGGAGTTTTTTTCTGAGACCATAGCTTCTTCCATGAAGCATTCCCTGACAGCTTGTTGTTGTTGTTAGGTGCCGTTGAGTCAATTTTAGACTCATATCGAGTCTGTGTGATATAGGAGAACTGCCCTATAGGGTTTTCTAGTCCGTAATCTTTATAGGAGCATATTGCCAAGTCTTTGTCATGTGGAGCTTCTGGGGGTTTAACCATTAACCTTTCTGTTAGCAGCTGAGGGCTTAACCATTGCACCACCAGGGCTCCTGCCCTGACATCTTTAGCTCACATCAATCAGACCCTACTCATCCTCCTGTTATATTGGTGCTTAATTATGCATCATTTTGTAACACCCTTTAATTGTTTTATTATTCTTGTTTCCCTAGTAAGATTGTAAGTGCCTAGACAGGAAGAGCCCTGGTGGTGCAGTAGTTAAGCACTTCATCCGCTAACCAAAAGGTCGGCAGTTTGAATCCACCAGCCGCTCCTTGGAAACCCTATGAGGCAGTTCTCCTCTGTCCCATTCAGTCACTGTTGAGTTGGAATCGACTTGAACCCAATGGTTTTTTTTTTGTTTTAGAAGACAGGAATTATATTTTCTTTGTATCTCTCCTTCATACCTAACAGTTTTGGGTACATGGTAAGTGTTCAGTGTCTGTTAAATTGAAGTTGAAATTTACCTTTTACAAATATTTAAGGAATAGAAAAATCATGAAATTCAGGGGTGAGGGTACCATCATGAAATTCCCTAGTCCGTTAGAGTGTCAAAGAATTAACCCCTTTTTCTAGAATAAAGTCTTTTACTGAGTTACTTTCCCAGCGTTGCTTGCTAAATGGAGATACAAGTCTAAGCTTCTGATTTCCAAAGCTGAGCCCTGTTGAGTTACAACCACTAAGCTTTTGGAATAAATCATTGCTTTCTGAAGTAGAGCATAGGGGACTCCAGAGAGTGGGTGGTGTTCAGGGAAGAGAGGAAGGATTATTGGTGCTTTCAAGGGCAGTGTGAAGCTTTATGTGAACGGAAGAGGCGGTCAGCAC